ATATATATATATATATATCTTCTTTTAATTAACCAGTTGCCAATTAGGGTTTCCTTTCTCATTTTTCCAGCCAGTGGTATGCATAGAAATAGGGGAAAGAATCACCTCTGTTCTGAACATCACTTCTGTTTCATCATTCACTAAGTATCAATAGATCACTGATCCTAGGTAAGTATTCAGGACTCTCCCCACCCATTATACAAATATCCACTGGGTGCCTACTAAATGTCAGCATTATTCTGTTTCCCTCTGAAATACAGATGATTCCTCAGTAATCACCACAAAATCTCAATTTAGGAAATTTTATGTTCTTATTTACACACTGAAAAGGGTGGGAAGAGAGTCACCTCTGTGCTTTGGATTTCCTGTTTTCACTACGGTTATGCGAGCAACTACCAGGAATAACCTTTTAAAGGCAAGCAAACAAACAAACAAAAACACTCCAAAGGCATCTATCCTGACACGAGACTATATTTCACTACATGTCAAGTAAGAACATGAGCCAGAATTTTGAGGAGCTCAGTGATAGAGGTGAAGAGACTTATCATTCTTGCCTACAGTAGAAAGGAAGAAGGTTAAAGTCCCCTCATTCCCCAAGACGCCCAACCCACTTCAATTCATCTCTCAAAACAGAATTTCTTAAATGTTAGAGGCCAGTGATAAATAAACTATCCACAGTACAATCCAGCACACAAAAGCAAAATACACAGAGAACTGAAAGAACCACAACAGTTATACAAAGCAAGACCTGTCATCACCACGTTCAATGTACTATGCTATTTTCCATTATCTTTCATCTTTGATAAATGCTCTTAAAAACCCACACTATGGGGACCAGCAACTGGCGTAATGGCTATATCGCTGGACTCCCATGTAGTCGACCGCAGTTTGAGTCCCAGACTTGGTGGCTTAAACTCATGCCAGCGTATATGCGTGCGTACCCAAGATCCCAAGAGCAGAATGGAGGAGAAGGGATTGCAGTGTGGCCATTCCCCCTGGTGTGGCCATCCTCCCAAGTGGGTTATTTATTGTTTTCCGTCTCTTTATCTCTCTGGTGAACGCACGCACTCTATAGCAAAAATCTCTCTCAAAAAAAAAAAAAATTTAGGTGGGAGAGTGGTTTCTTTTGATTAAGGGAAACCTCTACCTTTTAGAGATATATACTTAAATATTCAGACATTGAGGGGCCCGCAGGTGGCATGGAGGTTAAGGTGACTAGATGCCACAGGCTGCCTCCGTGGTTGAACCCAGCAGCTTGAAAATCATACTGGACACGTGTGTGTGTACGCCCAAAAATCTTTAGAGGAGAAGTGAGAAAGGATTGTGGTGTGACCAGCCCCTTGGGGGCTGGGGTGGTTTCTTTCTTTCCCTCTCTCTCTCGCTATCTCTGCCTCTCTCTGGCAAGTGCATGTGCCCCATAGAAAAAAACTTCAAAAAAAAAAATTTTTCACACATAGAAATAAATGATATCTATGGCCAGTGGCATGGCCACCCCCCTTAGGGAGTGATCTATCTATCTCTCTCTCTCTCTCTCTCTCTCTGGCAAGCACATGTGACCTTTAACAAAACTGAAAAAAGAAAAAGAAAGTGGTTTCTGTGGCCAGCTGGTGGTATGGTGGTTCAGGCAGCTAGATTCCATATGGTCACCTTCCCAATTCTAGTCTTAGACCCAAAAGCTTGAAAAACATACCAGATGTGTACGTGCATGACCAAAATCCTGATAAGAGAAATAAAGAAGGGATTGCAGTGTTAACCATCTCCTATACCTTCTGGCAAAGTTTTTTTTAAAAAGGAACTATGATGGGACCAGCAGTTAGCATAATGGCTATGTTGCTGGACTCCCACGTAGTCGACCGCGGGTCACGGCCCCGACCCACTGGCTTAAACTCATGCCAGGCGCATGTGTTTGCGTGCCCAAGATCCCGAGAGGAGAATGGAGGAGAAGGGATTGCGGCATGGCCATCCCCCCGGGGGGTGATTTCTCGCTGTCTCTGTCTCTCTCTGTCTATCTGGCGAGAGATAGCAAAAACTCTCCCCCCAAAAAAGGAACTATGTTATTTCTGGAATTTTTCTTAAAATAATTGGGGAGAGGGGCCAGCAGGCGGCATGGAGGTTATAGCAGCTAGATGCCATATAGCCCACTGTGCAGTCCCAGACCCAGCAGCTTAAAAATCATGCCAGGCTTGTGTGCATGCTTACCCAAAATCCTAAGAGGAGAATGGAGGAGGAGAGACTGTGGCATGGCCATCCTCCTTGGGAGTGATTTTTCACTCTTTCTCTCTGTCTCTGGCAAGCACATGTGCCCTATAACAAAACTAAATAATAATAATAATAATAATTTGGGAGGTGAGAGCGGAAAGTGAATAAGGGTATAGATGAAACAAGAGTAGCCATCAAAAGGAATAAGTTCAAGAGATCTGTAGTACACATGGTGACTATATTAAATAACAGTATGTTCCTTTTCTTTTTCTCCTTTTTTTTGTTTTACTTGCCAGAGGGCACATAGGCACTCCAGAGAGAAACAAAGGGAGGAGAAGAAAGCACTCCCCAGTGGGGCATGGTCACATGTCAGTCCCCTTCCTCTCTCATTTCTCCCTCCTATTGGGATTTCGGCATGTAGTCACACCAAGCACTTACCAGGGCCTGGATTTGAACTGTGGTTGGCTGAATGGGATCTGGCTCCCTTAACTACTGGGCCATGGGACTGGCCCAACAATGTATTATTATATACTTGAAAATTGCTAAGAGAATAGATTTTAAATGTTCTCACCACAATAAAATAAGTATGTAAGGTAATGGATATGTTGATTCACTGGTTCACAGTGTTTACATATATAAACTTTTTTTAAGTTTGCTGTAGGGTATATGCACTCACCAGAGAGGAGGAAAATAAGAAATCGCCTGTGGGGGGAGGGGCAGTGGCCATGTCTCAATCCCTTTTCCATTCTCTCAGGATTTGGGGCACTCACGCACATGTGTCTGGCCTGATTTTTAATCCACCAGACCTAGGGCTCAAACTGCATAGTTGGCCATATGGGATCCATCCACTTTAACCACCAGGCCACTGGCCAGCCCACTATTTATTTCTTCCACCAGAGACAGACATGTACCATCAGCAGGGTCCTCACACTGCAGTTCAGCCCCAATCTCAGCCAGTCAGAATCACAGGCATGTGTGTACACGTGTGTGTAGGGAGCTCTCAGGATGTGAACTTGAGACCATCTCATATGGCTTCAACATCTTAGAGCACTGCACTACGGCTGAGCCTAAAAACATCTTTTTTTTCTTTTAGAATTTATTTAGGGGACCAGCAGGTGGAATGGTGGTTAAGGCACTGGACATTCCCACGTGGCCAACCATGGTTCACGTCTTGGACCTGGTGGCTTACTTTCTCACTTCCCCTCTCTCTCTTTGTGTCTCTCTCTGGCCAAGTTGAAAAAAATGAATGAATAAATGAAAAAATAAATTATTATTTTTAAAAATATATTATTAAGATTAAAATTTATTAGTATTTTTAAATTTGATATAGGACACATGCATTCACCAGAGACAGAGGAAGTAAGAGTAAGCAAGAGAGAGGGAGGGAGGGAAAGTGAGAAAGCAAGCTACCAGGTCTGGGACTCAAACCACAGTTGGCCATGTGAGAGTCCAGCATCTTAACCACATTACTTGCTGGCCCCCTAAAAACATCTTATACACCATAAATAAAAATGATTTTTTTCTCTTTTTTTCCTCATGCCCCCAGATCCAGGACTTGAACTGTACTATCAGCCATGTGGTATTTAGTCACCCTAACTACCTTGCCACTGGTTGGCCCTATAATTCTTATTTGTTACTTTTTTAAAAGATGGCCATGAGTGATCATTATTTTAAGCTAGGTGGTACTTAGTAGGTATGGGTAGCTTTGCATAAGTTACTTATCCTGGCCAAGCCCCAGTTTCCTCATCTGTAATTTGAAGGCTATATTATTTTACAGGATTGTTGTAAGAAGAGATTTTTTTTTTAATGCAAATGATATATCAGGCACAGTAATTATTATATAGTATGTGCTTTAGTGGAAGCCTTTGTTACTAAAAAACTGAATACTACTCTTTGATGCTTGCAATGTATAGTGAATTTTCTTTGGAAGATGAAACAGAATTATGATTATTTTTTAGAGAGAGAGATTTTTGCTATAAGGGTGCATGGCGCTTGCCAGAGAGACAGAAAGAGAGAAATCACCCCCCAGGGGGATGGCTATGCAGCAATCCCTTCTCCATTCTCCTCTCAGGATCTTGGACATGCACGCACACATTTCCCAACGTGAGATTTAAGCCACCAGATCCAGGATTCGAACCGCAATTGACTACATGGGAGTCCAGCTACATAACCATTATGCCATCTGTTGTTCCTCACAATTAATTATTAAGCTTAGTGTCTTACCACATATTGGGTTGTCAGAAAAGTCGTGATGTATTTTTCTCTACGCAAAAAAAATCATGACTTTCCGACAATGCAATGCATTGAGTGCAAAGTCATATATAGTAGGAAAAGATTGCAATTAATCGCATCAAGATTCAAACCCGAATTTGGCATTTAACTAACTGAATACTATGAGCCTTGGTTCCCTTATCTGTAAAATGGTGGTTATTATATATTGTATAGGGTAAGAATTAGTGATAATGTTGTAAACATAAGATAGTACTGTTAGTTGTTTAGTGCAGTGGCTAGGTCTTGATAATTACTTGGTTAAATGGTATTTGCTTGTAAACATATTCAGTATATAATCACTGTGCTCATAACCATCAACTCAAATAGCCCAATCCACAGAGGACGAACCCTGCCTAATTCTTCTTTGCTGATAATTCCTTTTTTCCCTCCATCTTTCGCTTCTCCCATCAGCTGATTTACGAAGACTGTATGGATCTGATTGCAAAGCTACCTTGTGTTGCAGCGAAGATCTACCGGAATCTCTACCGGGAGGGCAGCAGTATTGGGGCTATTGACTCTAAGCTGGACTGGTCTCACAATTTCACCAACATGTTAGGCTATACTGATGCTCAGTTCACTGAGCTCATGCGCTTGTACCTCACCATTCACAGGTGAGCTGGACCCAGCCACCATAGCCACCAGATGCCTAGATGGGTGGGAAATTTTTAAAAAGCCCCTTAATGTCTTCTGGGAACAGATGGTAGGCAGCAAGGAAATAGAAACTTCATAAGGGATATACAAGGCAAGAAAGGGGTCTAATAAGGAAGATCAGAAGACCTAGGGAAATTACTGTAACCATGCTAAGGACAAGATGGTGCTTCCAGCTGGGAAAAGATACTAGCCACTCATAGTAGGTGGACCTTCAGCTTCCCCGGAGCACCCTCTTCTGGCCACTGCTATTAAAGCTGGGGTGGGAGTCAGAGTGCTGGGGACATAAGCATCAACTAGTAACCTCTCCAGCTCTGTGGATTCGTGAACAAAAGCTGGTAATGAGATTAAGACGTCTTTTACAAGAGCTTCGGTATAACTGACTGGCTATGACTGGTATGAGTCTTTAACTAGGCTAGTATGTGACAAATATGAACTGCAAGATCTGTTTCCATAATCTGCTTTCTCTCCCCATGTCCTCCCTTCTTACTTCACTCCAGTGATCATGAAGGCGGCAACGTAAGTGCCCATACCAGCCACTTGGTGGGCAGTGCCCTTTCAGACCCTTACCTGTCCTTTGCAGCAGCCATGAATGGGCTGGCAGGGCCTCTACATGGATTAGCAAATCAGGTAAGACTATTCTTTTTCCTTTCCTGCTCCATGTTTTCCTTACACAACAATTTTTTCCTGATTTTGAATTTCTTCATGGCATATGAATTGATGTTTCTTCCCCAAAAACCTTACCTGTAGGAAGTGCTTGTATGGCTAACACAACTACAGAAGGAAGTTGGCAAAGACGTGTCAGATGAGAAGTTGCGAGACTACATCTGGAACACACTCAACTCAGGACGGGTAAGCAGAGATGCTTAGCAACTAAGAAAGAAGCTAAGATCCAAGCTTTTTTCTCTTTAAAATTTTCCAGAGAGTGCATGCACTCACCAGAGAGAGAGAAAGTGAGAAAGCACCTCCCATAGGAGATGGCCACACTTTAGTCCCTCTCCTCCGTTTCTCCTTTGAAGATTTTAGGCACGTATGCACAGGTGATCAGTGTGTTTTTCAAGCCACCAGGTCTGAGACTCGAACCCTAGTCATCCATGTGGGATCAAGCTGCCTTAACCACCATGCCACCAGCTGGCCCCATGTTTTTCAATTTGAGAGAATATTGAGGAGCCAGCAGGTGGTGTGGTAGTTAAGGGTGCTGAACTCCCACATGGCTGATCACGGTTGAGTCCTGGACCTGGCAGCTTGCTTTCTTGTTTTCTCTTGCTCTCGCTCTGTTCCTCTCTGGTCAAATTAAAATAAATAAAGTTAAATAAAACAATTATTTAAGAAAAATATTGAGAGATTCTTAAATTAGATTAGTTGTGGTTTTTTTTTTGTTGTTTTTTTTTTTTGAGAGGTTTTTTTTTTGCTATAGGGTGCATGTGCTCGCCAGACAGACAGAGAGAGAGAGAGACAGAGAGACAGAAAGCAGGAAATCACCCCCCAGGGGGGATGGCCATGCCGCAGTCCTTTCTCCTCCATTCTCCTCTTGGGATCTTGGGCACGCACGCACACGCGCCCAGCATGAGTTTAAGCCACCGGGTCCGGGACTCGAACCGCAGTCGACTACATGGGAGTCCAGTAACATAGCCATTATGCTAACTGCTGGTCCCGATTAGTTGGTTTTTTAATTCTATTTATCTACCCTGATAAATTTAGTAAACCAACTGCCTTTTTTCCTCACCTTTTATAGGTTGTCCCAGGCTATGGCCATGCGGTACTAAGGAAGACTGATCCACGATATACCTGTCAGCGGGAATTTGCTCTGAAACACCTGCCTAATGACCCCCTGTTTAAGCTGGTTGCTCAGCTGTACAAGATAGTGCCCAATATCCTTTTAGAGCAGGGCAAAGCCAAGAATCCTTGGCCCAATGTTGACGCTCATAGTGGGGTGCTGCTCCAGGTGAGTCCTCACTTTCCTACTTTCCTTCTTAATTTGTAACCAAACTGTACTACTCTCTTCCATGCACAAAGTCAACTCTGTAGTCAGAGCAAGAATTCACAGACCACCTCCTTCATAGATCCTTTTCATAAAGTCGCCTGTGGCAGGGGTCAGGGTTGGAGATTGGGATCTCTTTTCAGAATCTCAATTGCTATACTTTTCCCAGTGTCATTTCCATCTAAGGCTGACTGGGCTAAATCCCTAAAAATAAAATAAAGAGGAAAATGTAGCCCCTAAGCTTTCTATCACCCTGGACTTAAATATGCCAGTGCCTGTTTACCTTTAACAAAGCTTTTCTCTTCTATCTTACAGTACTACGGCATGACGGAGATGAATTACTACACGGTCCTGTTTGGGGTGTCACGGGCCCTGGGTGTACTGGCACAGCTCATCTGGAGCCGAGCCCTAGGTTTCCCTCTAGAAAGGCCCAAATCCATGAGCACGGATGGTCTGATGAAGTTTGTGGACTCTAAGTCAGGGTAAAACTGGAGACTGGGGAAAACCAACTACCAGAAAATGAGGAAGCTTAAAAAAAAAGTATATCTTTGTTTTGTTCCAGGGGGGCCTTTAAGATTTAAGATTAAATTGTATCTGAGGCACTGATAGTACATTTGAAGTTAAAATATAAATTAAGACTTTAAAATTTGAAAAATCACCCCTTTCCTAATTAGCTCCCTTCCCCTGCCTGGTATGAGTTGTCCATCAACTATAGGATGACCAGGACTAAAGCCAAGTGGTAAGTGTGAGAATCTGGCCCCTCAGTCAAAGCTGGTTGCAGAAAATCTGCAGTCACTTTGGAGCTTTTGCTTCTACTTTGTGAGCCCTCAAAATAAGCCACCAAACCAGGACTCTGCCTCTTCTGTTTCCATAGGAATCATGTTGGATTTTCAGCTATACAAAGCCCCACAGCCCTCTTCCGCACACAAAACACCTCCTAGCAAGACCTACTGGTTGGCTGGGCATACTTGGGTAATCTTATGCTACCCAGTGACCATAAAAGCATGGCATTTGTGATTGGCACCCAGTGTTTTATTTCTTTTTAAAATTATCCCGTTAAAATTAAGGCCTAGAGTATTTTGTTTCCCATTACTTTAATACCTCCTTCAAGACTTTCTATACCTGCTGCTCCTCAAACTGAGGATGCTCTGGACTTTCCCCTCTTGGTTTCTACTAGAGATCTTCTGACTTGTGGTCTTTCCCAGTCATTTGGCTTTATCAGTGCTTCATGTGAATTAAGCTGTTACTTCCATAGAACATAAACCACTCCCTGACCACCACCACCCCCCGCCCCCTTTTAATATGATGTGGGACACAGAACAGACACTCAGGAACAACCAGCATTATATCTTCGTAGTCTGATCCCAAGGGTACTAACATCTCTTTTTGAACAGGGAAATGAGTCAAGATTGGACATGGTCTCCTTTAAATATCAGGTCATGGGGCTGAGGACATTAAAAATAGTAAGCATCCTTCCTCACCCCTTACTATAAGAAAATATTCCCTTATTTATCAATGTCTTATTCCTGCCCCTCCCCTAAGAGTTCACAGTGTGATGTTTATTTGAGAAGCTCCATTTGCACAGGTTTTCAGTGACTCAGAATGTCCTGCTGCCTTTTCTTTGAGAAAGGATTGAGATACACTCCTGCTGTGCCCCCCTTCCCTCAGAACTCTTGCCTGTGTTTGTGTGGATCCCTAGTCCCCAGAACCACACTGTTGAGATGGACACACTGTAAACCCCTGGGTAACTGTCAAGTCATAACGCAGACTTCAGGTTGTTCTGTATAAAATGAAAAATAAATGTTTTTATTAACAATGCTTGAGCCTGCTATTAAATAAGACCTTGATGAATCTTTTATAAAGTAAGGAAACTGACTAGAGCGATCTCAAACTTTGTAGTTTCTAAGTTCCTTTAGGATTCTTGTGCATTCCTTTATCTGTAGGTAAGTTTGATATTCTTTTACCAAAATCAGAGGAAAGGGTCTCTGTGAGACTCCTAGAGATTTCTACCTTTCCTCAAAGTTAGGAAGTCCTTTACCTTTAGCCCCTGTTCTTCCTAATCTGATACGGTAGACTACTCAAGGACTACGCCTGAGACCTCGCAAGTGCCTATGTGATTAATCCAAGAATTGGTCCAGCCCACTGGGTGAAAGGAACAAACTGTTCCAAGGATAAATGTGCTAGGGCTGCTAGCTTAAAGCCTGAGCCACAAGAGGGCTCAAGTACTACACTGGAATACCTTCTCTTTGCACCTTCCCTTGGGGAAGCCCTCAGAATAACAAGAGGTGGTCCTGAAGGCATCAGATGTTTGAGCCGTCTGAGACCAGATGATTCTGTGTTGCGACTCTTGTTCCAACTGACCTTCTGAAAAAGTCTATAAATAGGCAAGGGGTGGGAACTAGGTCCTGGCTTGTAAAATGTGCTACTAAAGTTAGCAGGGACGTTATGTCCAAGAGGCTTTCTCACACCTTCCCTCCCCCAGGGAAGGAAACCATGATTTTTTCCTTTACTATATCTACATTCCCCACCCCACCCCACCAAGAAACAATACCAAAAAAAAAAAAAAAAAAAAAGCCAAATGCACACTGTCACAGTTTATTGAAATTTTATAAAAACTCAGGCCAAGTGAAATAAGGTACAAACCAAGAGTACAAACACAACTTTGTTCAGTGCTTTTTTTCTCCTTGGCCCTATGGCATTAATGGTAAGAAAGCCCTTGCTCTCTTGCCAGGCAGCATGGAAATAGTTTCAAAGTGAGGCTACATGGATTTCAAGCTGGGGGCAGGTTGCTTTCTGAGGAATCTCAGGACAAAAGTTCTTTACCACCTAGAACATCTGTACCAGAGAAAAAGCTAAATTTATTAAGTTCTTAGAGAAGTTGTTGTCTTTCCCTGGTCAGAATTAAGATGCCCTCCCTAACATGCCCAGAGACAACCACACAGTCCTGATTCTAATTCAGTGTAAAAAGGCTGCAGGCATACAGAGCTGTAAGGATGAGCCTGATCCTTTCCTAGGCGTGTGTTATTTCCGTATCTGCTGCCTTTTCCTAGCATTTCCAGCTAGTATAGAGCCTAATTTCTGGGGTATTAAGAGTAGGAACAGTATTCTGAACACAGACTCCTCTTACATTAGATCAGGAGCCAAACCAAATAAATAAGAGAATTAGATGGGGAGGAGGGCAGATTAGGATAGGCTAGAGAACAGTCCTTTGTCTCATGTCTGGTGCACCTCATGGAACATCAGTTCACGGGGGATGGCCGTTTCTGGACCAAACTTGGTGGCTGCCCGGCGTTCGAAGGCAGCAACATTCTGTTTGACAACCTCATCAAAAAACATGGTGGCCAGCTGGGAGTGCAGCAGAGAACGAAATTCAAAGGAAATCTGGGAATGGGTAAGAGACAGAAACTCTTGAAAACTATGTTGAATAGTTCCTGGCCAAATTAACGATGCTGTACCTCAGTGCTTTTTCTCCCTTTCCCCTTCTCCCTTATGTGGCCTAAAGAGTCCTAACTTAGGACTGAGCGTGGAGTACAAGTTTGATATGAGCTCAGACTTGTATAATCTCATCGACCCAGGATATGCTAAGTGCTACCTATACTTAAATAGCCCTGTCACAGTATACCAGCCCTGTTCCCACCCCCCTTCCACACAGCCAGTCCTAGACCCATGCAGTGTGACCTACTGACTCACCGAAAAGTCCACTGTGCAAGTTCGGGGGTAGGCAGGGATACCAGGGCTGAATCGCCAAATGGTCTCTAAGTGATTGAAGAGCTTACCATCAGTGCAAACAGCCTAGAATAGGACACACAGGTAGTTAAATATTTTTACTAAGTATGGGTGGCAAAAAAATTGTAAGCCATTTTCCTTCTATCATTTTAATGAGGGAATATTTGACAACAGACATAAAGATCATTACAAGGAAGGCCACGTTGGCCCTTAAACGTGAAAATGCTAAGAAACACAAACACTTCCTGGTCAACCCCTCCAGACAGGCCTCACCTTGACCATGTGAGGTTTGACCATGGAAACCGCAGAGGTATAACGTTCTATGACAGGTGGAAAGCCAACCTCCAACTGGGCCTTCAGGTGACCCTTACGGCTGGATACCACCAGAGACTTCTTACACCAGGGCACAAACTCGCGATACTCTTGGACATTGGATACCACCTCGTACATCTCCTGCATTGAGTACCTAGGGGAGGGGAATCAACAGAGAAGCCAAGAACTGCCAGCTGGGTCAGGCTCCTCCTTACCATCTGCCCTCAAGTCATGCTTTTGCCCACAGTCATGCACCTTCAGGGGCCAGCAATCCCAAACAGGCTTGGGTAAATGACCTCTCAAAAGCTACTTTATATCTTGCAGTTTACAGAATGCTTTTGCATTCATTATTTTGATCTTAAGAGTGACCATCTAGGGATGAGAGAAAATCGGTTTTGCTGCTGAGCACATGAGGATGAGATCCCAGCTTTACAACGTTTTTAAGGTAAATTACTTGTGCTTCCATTTCTCATCTATATAAATCAGAAGGAATAACTGCCTGATTCATAAATTTGAGGATCAAATGGAATACTGAGCAAGTGGGAAGTGTTCAATAAGTTAGCTCTTATACTGTGCACAGCACGTGTAAAAAAAGTTCACCAGAGAATAACCTGTTGTCTCAGTAATATGTCTATGCATAGTCCAACTCTAGTCCCATTTCACTTAATACACATGCACCCCCAAGAAGAGAGACATTAAGGTTGGAAGGCTGGAAGGAGATGATAAAGGATCAGAGCTGAGGAGAGAAGGGCCAAGGATGAATCTTGCCCACTACCGATCCCCTTACACTCTAGCCTGGACATGATTGTTTGGAGGGGAAGAGGAGGCGGAGTGATGCTGGGCAGAGGAGGATGCTCACCCCATGATCCTACGTTCCGAATAAGCCTTTCGCTTGTTGGTGAACGGGGCAGCAAAGCCCATGAAGGAACGGCTGGGAGGTAAGCCAGCCTCAGCTGCTAAGACCTGGGCAGCTCGGGGCAAGAAGAGGCTGCAGGAGATCAGAAACCTAAGGCGGAAAGGAAAGGAGAGGCAACGTTATGACTTTCTATTCCTCAGCCATTTCCACGTGAAGGGGAAGAGGTGCATTCCAGGGGAAGGTCGTCCAAACAAGTTTTTCCCTCAGCACCTGCTCCAACCCGCCAGGCTTCCTGGCCAGGCGGTCACGAGTGCGAAAGGTCGAGGGCAGCTGAGGACAGGCCCACGGGTGGGGATAGGAAAAAGCGGGGTGCGTGCTAAGCGCCATTTGCCTCTGACTGGGGCTCTGCTGCCGCTGAAAGTTGACTCGGGGAGCCTCCTGCCCCCGGAGCCCCGCCGAGCCTTTATTGCCAGGGCGAGGGCCAAGCAGTGGCCGGGCAGCTCCGAGGACTTGCCCTAGTGCTTAAGTGGCAAAAGCGCCCCCCCTGCCGCGCCTGCATCCCAGACTATAACCCTCCCCAGCGGAACCTTGGGGTCCTGGGCGACCCCATCCCTCCCGCCAGGAGGCCCGCGCCTGCCTCTCACCTCACTGGTCGCGGCGGGCCCGGTGG